GTCATTTTGACTGCTTTGGGTAATATAGGTATATACTAAGTTTCAGTCTTTCTAGTGTTAAGTAATTATGTAATCATTTGTGTGGTTCATGTTGTTAGGCAAAAATATTGCAAAACTTTACTTTTCGTATTGACTACAGGTTTCGTCCTTCGAACGACGACAATTCATAAAATGTATGCCTTTGCAATATAAAAGTACTTGGAAACAATTGACGAAATAATCTAATCTATCCCAAAGAATAATTCTTTATACTAAAATGATATCTGCTCTGACAGAATTTCTACAACCACAACTAAAAAGGTTTCAATTTTTCTTGAAAATATTGAAAACAAACGCGTAGTGTAATGGGGACGATTCGCTGTCAAATGAAATCGTGAGGATACGAATTTCTGAAATTCGGTAAATACGTAGCTCGTGTATGTAGACTTGTACTCGTCAGGATTCGCATGAGAGGAAATCCGGAGAGAGGTCTCCCAACGCGAGGGGCGGTTCTACGTTTAATTAAATCTTTTGCGAATTTACATGCATACACGCAGAATTCTGCTCGGGCGAGGATCCTCTCGGAAGGCTTCCGAGAGGCTGGGGAACCTTTGTAGAGATTCGTATCGTTACCTGGCCAACCCTTTACCTGACGTAAACGTCATTAAGGAAACCGATCTTACGTACTCTTTTTTTTAAGGGCGCCCCGAAACGTCGACCCTTGTTTCCCTGGCCGCGAGGGGTTGAAGTTAAGCCTGGTTTTTCGTGTAACCCAGACAGACCTTTTGATTGCTGCATCCCGTAATTGCCTTCTGTGTTTTCTCTAGCCTCCACAGTTTCCCAGGTCCCAATTTTGAGAAAGTACAAGAAATGTAGTAGTTGAATTTAATTCAAATTGAGTTTAATTTCACTTAAACTCTCGACTCGATATGAAAAACTCCAAGTTCTATCCTTGGTCTTTTTTTTTATCAAAAGTTTGGAGTATGGAAAAATGAGAAAATTGGAAACTTATTCATAGTTCAAACAAAAATTTGAACGAAACGTAAGGACATATAAAAATTTATACGCAGCGTCGAAATTCAATATTGAAGGAAATCGAGTTTAATTCAATTTTAACTCTTGAGTTGGTATTGAAATTGAGTTTGTATAATTGATTAAGAGCTTGGAATTTGGAATATTGGGAAACTTGGAAGCTTATTCACAGTTCAAACGATAAGAATGATCGATACAAATCATAAGAGATATGGTAAATTGTGTTTGAAAAATTTGAAGGTAAAGTAAGAACGTATAAAAATGGACTGGTAAAAGTAGATGTACAATTTCTCGTATTTTGAAATACACTTTTTATTTCGACTCGGTCAAAAACTACGATAACAATAGGTCGGTAGATATGTATATCTGAAATCATCCTTTTTTAAAAGGGGTTTGGCGCACAGTGAACAGTGTTAGCCGTCGTCGGTGTGAAGAAATGGAAGAAAAAAAGGAACAGATAAAATCGTCACCGATACTTAATCGATTAACTTCGATGTGAAAGCGACGAGCCTTGTTTGATTTCCTCGCGAGAAGCTTTCCGCATAATTCGATTCTATTTTTCATCGTCTCGACCTGGCAAATTCTATTCAATTTATCTTAGTCGATTATGAATCACAATTGGCAATATTGCACACGAGCCCGCAATCAATTCGATCGAATCGTTATTATAGTATTTGAAACTTAAGTGAGAGGAATCAAAACTGGGTTGATCGCCCGGTCGAATTTCAGAACGAGAGCTATTCGTTTTGGAAACGAGATGCTACATGATTTAAAAAATTCCATAGAATCTTCAAAAATCAAAAGTGAATTTTGATTTAGTAACTTTAAATAAAAGTCGAGCTTCAGAATGGCACTCAGTCGTCTTGGAGATGAGATGCCACATGATTTAAATCTGATAAACTCTTTAAAAAGTAAATTATGGATTTCAATGTATTAATTTTAAATAAAACTGTAAATCGTAAACCTGACAATTGCAGTTAAAATTAATACTGATTTGAAAATTGCACGAGAATGAAATCCATCAGTAATATAATGAAACCAAGACCAGTAGATTGTACGATCAAGTGTTCAAAGATTCGACCAGGAACCCCATGCAACGCGCAGACCGTCGACAGTGATGAATGACTCGATGAAACGACAATGTTTCTATCTATATACAACGTTCTATATACATACATCATGATCATCGTCACCATCACCACGGGTAGCCAGCAGCGGCATCACCTCCACTCGCTCACTCGGCTAAGTCCTTCTTCCCATCCGTCAAACATATTACAAATCAATCCTCCGCAGAGATTCGTTGACACACAACCAGTGAAATGAAAAGTAACTAAAAATCGTATCAAGGAAAGAGGGAGAACTCGTCTGTCCGATGTTCGCCTCGAACACGCACAGGACTGTTTTCATTTTTAATGCCCACTAGTAGCCAGTTTCCGGCTGTTCGAGCCCCAAATAAACACCTTGTCTCCTCCACCGATCACAGTTTGCTCGTCTCGATATACTCATCGTCCACGTAAATTGCTACAAATCATTGAGGCCTCGCACGACTTCTCAACTGTCCTTCACACTATCTTCCTTAGTACGGCCTCCAGACGTTGTTGTCCGGTCTGACCTCCTCCTGTCTCACGCTGCAGCTGTCGGCCACCGCTCTCTGCTCGGGACTCTCCGAGTTCTGGAACTGGTTCCCGTACAACTGGGAATAGAGGATGCTCGGCAGGACGCCTGGAGTTGGGAAGTAGTTGCCGTAGTTCTGCCCGAACCCTTGCTCCTCGTGCACTGGACTCTCCGTGGTGCTCGAGTCCGTCGACAGAGACCTTGGCGACACGTACTCCTGGTACCTCTGGCTAGGCGTTCCGGTCATCAGACTGCCGAGGGGGTCCAGGGGGTCCGACTGACCCGTCGTCGTCGAGTCCGGCACCACTGTTTCATTTAAAAACAACAAAATCGCTATTGCATTCCAACTTTCTGTCTAATAAAATGATTTCATCGAATTGTTAATATTTACAGATTCAATGGCTGTTAATATTATCCAAATCTACTAAACCACAAGATATACAATCAATGTTAAATACTTCAAACCATCATAAGGATAATTAATAATTCAAATAAAAAATGCTAAAACCTCGAATTAATTATTCCTAAACATTTCTAAACGAACGAATATTCGTAGTGTATTATATTCTTTAATGCAAACTATTTTAAAGAAATTATTTTCGTTTATTTAACTGTACGTAATTTTTAGTATTTATCTCTGTGAGGATGACCTCGTCTCACTGACCTATTGCCACGTGGGGCAGGTCACAGGGCAGACGCGGAGTCGGCGTTTTTTTTTTGCTACTACTATCACGCGTACGCGTTCCCAGGGAAAAATGTGGGTCACGCCGGATCACCGACCCATTCATCGCTTCCTAGTCCGTTTTGATATATTATATTTACAGTCAACGCAAACCTTGCTATTTTACAACACGATATTTCCAAAACACTGGCGTATGTATGTATGTGTATGTAGATAGATTTTTGTATTTGTATTTGTGATGATTATATGATTTTTGTGTGATAAATAGCTCTTCATTTGAAAATCAATATCTTGCAATAATGATTAATAGCGCTATCGATTACAACTAATTCTGATTTAATGTAAAATACGAGTATATTTGGTTTGCATTTAGGGAACCGCAAGCGAGCATATGGACCTATCAAATTCAAACTATAATTATTGCAGAACCAATAAAAGTAGAAACATTTAATAGAGATCTCAAATAGTAGGTTTAGTATTGCCCATAGTGATAGCACTTCAATTAAGCTCGATGCAATGTAATGAATTAAATCAGTTTCAATAATTCCTTTAATATTTATCAGTTACTTTATTATTTTATATCTCGTTATAGCGTATGCATTATAATTATCATATTAACAAAACACTGTGTAAAAGTTTAAAAATATAAAGAAACGAATTGCGGGACTTTTGAATGATTGCTTATCCTATTAAAAGATGCCCAAACCATATGCAGACTGGTCCTTGTAAGTAAGCAGTGATAATTTTTATACAGTCTGTACATGAACTTCCTCTGAGCGCATAAGAATCCGTAGTTTACTATTAAGAAACTGGCAGGAGACTTACAAGATGAGACAGCGGAGAAGGCGTCCGGCTGTGCGGCGGCCGCAGCACCGGTACCAGCGGTGGTGACGGTGGATCCCGCGGTGGAGTCGGGCGCCGTCGGCGTGTTCATGGACGCGGTGCCCGCGAACGACGCCAACGACGAGGTCGGCGGAGGTGGCGGCGGTGGAGGCGGCGGAGGGGGTGGAAAGGTGGCCTGTGCCGCGCACGACGACAAGGGTCCGGGCAGGTAACCAGCGTAACCGGCCGTGCTCCCGTATCCCCACGAGTTGCTCGCGGTCAAACCGAACTGGGACATGTCTAAAGAGATGCGTGCTCGTTCGTGTATCAATATCGCAAACCTCGCGTCTCTTACCGATGTCGAATGAGAAAATTATTATCAATTCTCAGATGCAATTTGTACCGGTTGTACTTTCAGTTATTCAGAAATTTTTTTTAATCGTGATTTTGTCTAATTTGTAGAGTCACATAGTGTTTCGATTGTCTTGTGACTAAATCTTGTGATATACAGTGACTCCCATTAATATTCGGACACACTTCAAAATAGCAATAAATAAAATTTTTAATATTGGATCAAACAACTTCATTTTGTTAGGAGGTGTGGTTTACTACATTTACTACAAAAAAGAAATTTATTCAAAATTTTATTCATAGAAAATACTGACGAACCTTGATCGCTTAATCCGGGACATCCTATACATATATGTAGATTATAATAGGGATAACGAACGTCTCCGTCGGGAATCCCAGTTACCCCACTACCGACTTGAGCTGACATTGCTGACAATAAACAGCAAGCCTCATGCATTTACAGTTCATTATTACATTTGTAGTTGCACTTATTGGTATTCTTATTATCCTATTTATATTTATTTATGTTTTATTCTTCTAAGTATGATTCAGAACTACAATCATTATTATTATTATTTAGTACAGGAAACAATGATTTGTACAATAGACCTTCTGTACATTGTTAATCCTGTTGTAATTAAACTGGACTTCATGGAGCTTAAAGATCAAAGAATACTAATGAATGCCTGCTTCGATTTGAAAAAGAGGAAACAGAAGCGTATTGAAAGCATTTACCAGCTAACAAAAGCTATAACCGAAACACTTATTCATGAACACAGGGGTTCGAACTCTCGTTCCACCACTATACATAAAGAGTCAGGCACAAAGGCGATTAAAGCGAGACTTTAACTTGCAACAAGAAACCAGAAAGCCAGGGAACCGCTGGGAACTGATGCGATGCAGTGAACAAAAACGTAAACGCAATTGTTAAAAGTTATAAAGCAGGTGGATTTATCCGGCGTGGATCGAGAGACGCTGACAGGAATTATCGATGTCCGATGCATGCGGGGAAAAAAGTTAATAAAGGAAATACCCGGCATGCTTGGATACTTTATCGGAGAATTTTCCACGTTATCGCGTTCGTACCGAAGGTGACTCATTAAAATCGACCGGCTCGAATATTTTCACTACCGATTTCTTCTCCCGCGAGAAGATAATAACTTGCGGGCGAAGCGCGAAAATCTATATCCACGTCGTCTATTTTCCTATCTATTGTTTCCTGCAATTAATTGGATTATACTGTTACGAACTGAATACTGCGAGGGTGCAACTTCTGAGGACAATCGGCTACTAAGACAACCGTTGATACAATTAACAAATTAATAGGAGGTTCTCACTGATTTATCCTCGAGGAGAACGGATGCTATCGTTCCAAATCATAATTACTTGTTACCATCATACATTCTGGGCTCTAATTTAACTTTTAGATCCCCGGAAAACAGCCATATCGGCTCAAGAATGGTTGACTACTTTATATGGCGTACAGAGAAAACGTATTTAAACAAATGGCTATCAGACGGACATACAGTGCTGTGGTTTGTTTTTTATTCCTTTGCCTTTTAATCGAGATGTGAGGGTGTTATTGTATTAATCGATGCTTCATATGAATTATGATAAAACGTAACTTGATTTCATAATTTATAAATCAATAATTATTATAAAATATTACAAAAATTTGTAAATGTTTGAAAATATGTATTTAACCCAATGGATATTAATCAGTGGGTTTTTATTAATTCAATATTGATAGAACTGTTGAAAAGTGTCGGATTTCCGGCGGGGGATGAAGAGTCGAAAGATGAGAGATACACTGGAACTGTGTTTCACATACAAGTTCGCAAATCCGGTCGCAAACGTACAAAACGAACGAGGCAGAGGAAAGCCGGTCGGGAGAGGAGGGGGTGGAGGTTAGCGGAGCCGAAAACGACGAGCCACCCCCGACGAGGCCACCGCCGCTCCCGTGGCAACCCCTTTAATATAATATTTAATCTAGCTTTGAACAGGCTTGTGGTTTCTGCCTCTGGAGCCGAGAAGCTAGCTCTCGCAAGCCTAAACCTCCCTCCCGGTCCCTGCGCCCCCTCGCCATCCTCGTCTATAACCGAGACCAAGCGTCTGCTTGGAAATATTCCCAGCTACGCCACTGCGCTTCTTACGATATCGACGATGAAATTTCATTTTCCAAAAACGAATATTGCACTTTTGACCGGAGACGGTTGCCCTCAAAGCTTTCCCCAATTTGTTCTATCGATCATCGGTTCAATTAGTTTTATCGATTATTACCCATCTCTTGGACGTATCAAGATCAGATTTAATACTTGAATGAGTTTTATCGGAAACACATTCTAATGAAAGCATGTATAGGTTTATTCATCCCACGAAGTCAGTATGCCATTTTATTTTAAATCAATCACAGTTTCCATATGCACGTAACTATATTCTTATAAATTCTTCTTCTTAAGCGATTTTAAAGTTAATCAGTTACTTAATCAGAGTTCTGCTAATCAGTTTTTGCATGACTTTGCATTCTTTTTTACACCCACAATGTATAGGAAGAGTTAAATGTAAATACATTCTTCTTATAATTGTCCTTTCTATACTGGTACTTCTTGATAATTATGTGAAAACAACAGCTCTTGCATCTCATAAAAGTCCGTAGAGCCTGGCTCTAATTGTGAGAAACTGATGAATGATTTCAACTAGCAATTCTTATCATTAGACTGCGGATTTTTATGCAATTACAGAAAATTGCATATAAGGAAATGCACTAATTATGCAGAATCTTCAAAATGCATAAAGCAACGTAAATCTGAAAATCCTAGATAAATCGATTAGATTCATTAAAATATGTTTGAAAAGTATGATTTTGCATAGAAATCTGCAGTCTTCTTATTCTGTACTTTCATTATGGTTCATGATTCGGTTTTAACATGCATTCCACCAGCAGGTGCAGTGAATTTTTGAACGAATGGATGGAGACTCTTTCGCGTACCCCCTTAGGATTTATTTTTGCGGCGTATAGGCAGCGTCCCCGATAGATTTTCCAATGAGTTACCAAAAGGGCGGAGGTGGGTGGGGGTGGGGTGCCAGGGAGCAGAGGAGGAGGGTGTAGCAACCGGACAGAAAACGGGAGGGAGGGCGAGCAGCGTTCGAGATCAAAGGGTTGGTCATCCCTCGCGTACCTACGGCCAACTCAAATAACCGAGAGCTGCACCCCGGCCCTCGGCCAGCGGCGCTGCTGGCCCGTCGTTGACGAGAGCCTAACCCTAAATAGTGCAAGCCAGCATGCTTTCACGTCGTTCGTTCAATTTTCACCCGGGAACTGGCCAGGGAAGGGTGACTTCACCCTGGCTGATATCGCGATGTAAGGAAAACCTTTGATTAACGCGACGCTAATTTCACCGACTCGATTTCAGACTGGCGCTTCTCTTTTTTCAGGTTCGATTGATGATCGATGCTCTGATCAAATATAAACTAAAGTGATATAATAGAATCATGAATATATCATTTTTTCTATATGAATTATTCTCGATCATTTATCTCATTTATTTATTATTCTTTGTTATTACACTTTATATTTAATTTTCACTGTTTTGTTACTATACCTGTGAGTGTTACAAGAATTGGTGTATTAATAAATAAATAAAAAATATAAGAATTCGAGATTAAAGAAGGAAGTAAATCAGAATTTGATCAAGAGACGTGACGTCCAAGTATTTTGCAAAGACCACGGGTGAAGATGGCTGTATCCGGCGTGGATCGAGAGACGCTGACAGGAATTATCGATGTCCGATGCATGCGGGGAAAAAAGTTAATAAAGGAAATACCCGGCATGCTTGGATACTTTATCGGAGAATTTTCCACGTTATCGCGTTCGTACCGAAGGTGACTCATTAAAATCGACCGGCTCGAATATTTTCACTACCGATTTCTTCTCCCGCGAGAAGATAATAACTTGCGGGCGAAGCGCGAAAATCTATATCCACGTCGTCTATTTTCCTATCTATTGTTTCCTGCAATTAATTGGATTATACTGTTACGAACTGAATACTGCGAGGGTGCAACTTCTGAGGACAATCGGCTACTAAGACAACCGTTGATACAATTAACAAATTAATAGGAGGTTCTCACTGATTTATCCTCGAGGAGAACGGATGCTATCGTTCCAAATCATAATTACTTGTTACCATCATACATTCTGGGCTCTAATTTAACTTTTAGATCCCCGGAAAACAGCCATATCGGCTCAAGAATGGTTGACTACTTTATATGGCGTACAGAGAAAACGTATTTAAACAAATGGCTATCAGACGGACATACAGTGCTGTGGTTTGTTTTTTATTCCTTTGCCTTTTAATCGAGATGTGAGGGTGTTATTGTATTAATCGATGCTTCATATGAATTATGATAAAACGTAACTTGATTTCATAATTTATAAATCAATAATTATTATAAAATATTACAAAAATTTGTAAATGTTTGAAAATATGTATTTAACCCAATGGATATTAATCAGTGGGTTTTTATTAATTCAATATTGATAGAACTGTTGAAAAGTGTCGGATTTCCGGCGGGGGATGAAGAGTCGAAAGATGAGAGATACACTGGAACTGTGTTTCACATACAAGTTCGCAAATCCGGTCGCAAACGTACAAAACGAACGAGGCAGAGGAAAGCCGGTCGGGAGAGGAGGGGGTGGAGGTTAGCGGAGCCGAAAACGACGAGCCACCCCCGACGAGGCCACCGCCGCTCCCGTGGCAACCCCTTTAATATAATATTTAATCTAGCTTTGAACAGGCTTGTGGTTTCTGCCTCTGGAGCCGAGAAGCTAGCTCTCGCAAGCCTAAACCTCCCTCCCGGTCCCTGCGCCCCCTCGCCATCCTCGTCTATAACCGAGACCAAGCGTCTGCTTGGAAATATTCCCAGCTACGCCACTGCGCTTCTTACGATATCGACGATGAAATTTCATTTTCCAAAAACGAATATTGCACTTTTGACCGGAGACGGTTGCCCTCAAAGCTTTCCCCAATTTGTTCTATCGATCATCGGTTCAATTAGTTTTATCGATTATTACCCATCTCTTGGACGTATCAAGATCAGATTTAATACTTGAATGAGTTTTATCGGAAACACATTCTAATGAAAGCATGTATAGGTTTATTCATCCCACGAAGTCAGTATGCCATTTTATTTTAAATCAATCACAGTTTCCATATGCACGTAACTATATTCTTATAAATTCTTCTTCTTAAGCGATTTTAAAGTTAATCAGTTACTTAATCAGAGTTCTGCTAATCAGTTTTTGCATGACTTTGCATTCTTTTTTACACCCACAATGTATAGGAAGAGTTAAATGTAAATACATTCTTCTTATAATTGTCCTTTCTATACTGGAAAACTACAAATACGATAGCTATGTACTAGTATGTCAATGAAGTGGATTGCACACGAGATTCTTGTGTCTCCTTATAATTGCTAATCAACGTACAACTGCAATCGTTTTCGAAACAGCGACACACCATAAATAAATCATGCTGGAGGTAAGACAGCGGTAGGCAACATTCATCATGCAGATAAAACCGGATCTACTCACTTTGACAGTTGCCGGGCATTGCGTGCCTGAAGGAGGACAACGGGTCCCGCGGTTGCAACGGGTTCGGCAAAGGTTGAAGCGGATTCGGCAACGGCTGCAGGGGGTCCACTAAGGGCGACGCGAAGAATGGGCCACCCCTTTGGGATGCGAACGCGAACGCGTGGAACTGCTGCTGCTGCCCTAAAAGAGACAACACTGCGATCAACCGTGCGCCTGTCCAATGGACTTCCGGTAACCACATTAATCATAAACCTGTCCGAGTTTCTCTTTCCGTTACGATTAGATTCACAATCATGGATTTTCTACATGAGCTTAAGATTCTCAACGATGCATTTATACTGTGCTTTATACGTACTGATATTGTATATACTGAGTCGTCCAAAAAGTGCGTGTAGATTTTTATAAAAAAGGAACACATTTGAATTTTGATATTCATTTATTGATTTATTGAATTACGTATGTGCTATTTTGTTCCACACTCATTATCCATCTTTCTTCATGCATCTTGAAGATTCTACCCCTCGATTATAAATTAATTTCAACGAATTTTTTCATATCAGAAAACAATCACTCATTACGTGAAAACGTTCTACCGTCGAAAGTAACGAGGTTCTCCAATTTATAGAGTACCGGGGATCGAAATTTCCTCCAGATCACGTTTCGCAGCCACGAAATTCCGACGCTATCTCGCACCCCAGCTACCGTGCATGCACCCCTAAAAGTCGCTAGGGACGGTTAATTTTTTTTGATGTCGTTCCGATCGAGGACTTTTTATTTGGTCAGTTAGCCGAGCATTCGCTTCTTGGTGATCTCGCGTCGAAACGGGAATAAACGCTGTGAGGGTGAGAGACCGGAGAAGAGACAGGTCCGAGGCAGCAGCGATTCATTTTATCCGGCGGGTACGGTGTCGCCAACCCAATTAAAGACGTCCCAACAGGCGAGGCGTCTGTCCTATCCGACGAGTCAGGGACTCGGCCAGGTTAGGCTACATCTCCGCAGCACACGTGGCCACCGGCTTTCCCTAGTTGCGTACAGCCCGTCGAAATCTACCGCCGTTGGGACGAAGGCACCGGAGCCGGGAGGGCGGCCGCTGCCCCCGCGTCGCGTCGTCCTGATAATCCAATCGAAGCCCTAATTCTAACCCGGCAACCCGAAATTCCCGCCGGTTTGCTGAATACGGTACCGCACGCTCGACTCGATCCAGGAGACACAATGGGGCCGCGACGACGGAATACGGACCCGGGGTTAACGAGATCTGTCGTTAAACGGTCGTCCCATACGCTTCTGCGCGAAGGAATTTCCAAAATCAACTTTCCTCAAGCGTAAAGTCCATAGATCTTGTCTTAAGGAAAAATTATCTGGACTGATCACTGAATCCCAAATTACTTCGTTCTAAATTTAATTAATAAAATCCTAAACGAAAAGTATATTATACAGCCATATGAATGATATGACAGTGAAGATAATTATTTTGTACGTAGAATTCTTTAAACAATGGAAGTCAGTTTGAAAAATAATTTAAAATAAGGAGAGTAAAATTTTCATTCGAGTGAAACCACTCCACCGGTCGACTTGAAAGTTTAAAGATATATTCGTGCTGTACTATAAGTATTGAATAAAGAAGGATTTTTCGAAATTCTATTCTCAAGATGATGAAAGATGCTAATATGTGTTTTTCTTTGTTTGCAATATTTCTTCAATCTAATGAGAATATAAATTGTTTCTGCTGCTCCAAAATATAATTAACGTATATTTCCACCCTCAAGATGAAAATATAATTTCTTGAATAATTATATTTTTTTTACACAATATGTGATATCGCTTTGGTTTCTCTTATTGTGTTAGGCTCATGGTGTAAAGAATTCGTGTTACATTTCTGGGTAGACGTTATACAAGGAATAAAGGGATCCGGTGGAAGGGTGGCGGCGTGAGATGAAAGGGTTACGAGTTGCGGGTGGTCGATCGGCGGCGTTTCTTCAAAACCGGCACGGCTGCCTCGTCTTTGACACGCTCCCTAATTTTATAGCGCCTACATCCTCTAAAGCAGAACGTGTCGCGCGTGTCGAACGTATTAACTAGTTCCGTTCCTGGTAATTGAAACGATTATTCTTTCTTTCTCAGTGTTTTAAATTCAGCATGAAATAATATCAGATGAAAGACGCAATAAGGAATGCGTTGGACTTTATCAAATCTTTCTATCATAATAAAAAATAAAAACAGTTCGTTTGTAAAAATCAATAAATCAATTGAAATCTCAAATTATGATGGATTACGATGATTCTCAAAACGTGGTTGAATCTGAAGCGACTGTTGAAGACAGATAAATCCTCTAGTGTATGAAAAGGGTTGGAAAACAAGTTGCGCAGCGGTGCGGTGAATCACGCAGGTTCTTTCTCGTCGACCAGCAATAAATCAGCCCTATGAATTCTACACGGTAGGAGGGCTCCTAGATGGAGTAGGAAGAGGTCCGATGCCTCATTCGGAACTCGGAGCGGGCGCCCGGTTCGAGGGTCGTAATTAATTAAACAAGCAATTCATTACACATTCTACCCTCGTCCCATAGCCAAAGGTGGCCTGGCCGCCACCAGAAAGAGGATGCCAGAGCTAAGGAAATTGATCAAGCGAGAGACAGAGTGGAAGGATGCCTCGGGCGGAAGTTGGAAACCCCGAAATCCCGAGTTCCACACACACGTTTCTACACGGCCGAGGCTTTTGTTAGAAAATAGCACGAAAATGGCCGGCCTCGTCGTCTACGTCGCACGTTCGTCGCGTCGCGAAGTGGGGGGCGACGGTACCGAAATGAGGAGCCTGTCGCTGCCAGCTGCTAACTCTCCAGAAATTCCCTGGCAGTCAACGGCCTGTACGCGTAAAAGGGTGCTCCGATGAAATCGATACCGAGTCCTAAAGAAGGTCCGAGCCGATCGCTAAAACTCGTATGCGCTCTTTCGCGATTAACTATATTCGACTGAAGACGAACCATCACCCCATTACTCATATGATAATCAATTCCCTAATCCTTTCCTTATTAGTGTAAAAAGTATATTTAATATGCACATGAAAATGATAGATAAACTTCAGAGATTCTAAGTCTTTCTTCGATCTTTTATCAACAAATATGATAAACTGAATGATATATAATATGATAAATGAATACATTTTAACGAAGCATGCTGACACACTGAGCACCCAACAGCACCCACCCCAGCGTTCGGTCGGAACGTGACACGTCGTCGTGGGCGCGCGTAGGTTTCGGAACAGTCTCTCGGCTCGGTAAATTTCGATTCCGCGACATAATAGCAGCTCCGTTCGCTAGCGTAACCGAGAAACCGGGAGACGTTTCCGTCGCCGCCGCGAAATAACCGTGGGGCTTCGGTAAGGTAATTGTGCGTCTGGAAGCTGGTAGTAGGATTCCCTTTCTCTATTGCGACGAGCCGGGAAACTTCGTAGGCGTCGCACAATATCTCCGCGGCTAAACGCCGCAGCCCCTTTATCAATGTTATGGCGGCCGGCCGCGGTTATAAATAATGGCAATTGCGCGAAACTTAGCCCCGGCCAGGGAACCGCACAGACGGCCCCTCCGGGCCATTCCGAACTTGCGGCTTTCGACGCTCCTCGTGACTTTCCACGCGAGTTACGCGACCACTTCTACCGGCAACTCAACGATTTTTTTTTAGAAAAATTTCTAAAAATTGACGAATTCCTTTGGGGAGATTCATCCATGCGATGCGATCAAAATAAATGTATTAGATTATCCTTGATTGTTTCAGTCAATGTATCGCACACGTATTTTAAAAGTAACATAAGTCAAAAGTTAATGTTTTGGGAAAATTGGGGAAAACTATTGGTGTGCTTAACACATGGTGCTTTTATTACATGTATTGCTCAATGGTTACTCTTGCCGAATGAGTGGAGGCAGCTTCAAGCAAGAAGAATGATAAATACAAATTTTCGACTTGTACCACTTTAGAAATACATGTGCGACATAGTAATTTTATTTTATAAGACAGTAAATGAAATGATCATTTATGAAAGTGAACCCAAGAGTGATTGCTTTAATATTTTCATACATACATTTCACTTATTGGAACTAGTATCTACATTGCATAGAGATCTAACTTTCTCTTACTTGAAAGAAAATCAGCATACCAATCGCTATTTGCATCGTTATAATAAATTATATAATATAAATCTACATTTTCACCCCATTTGTCCATAAATCTACGCTTTCACCCTGAGTGTACATAACGCCAAGAAAATAGCATATGAAATGTAAATGATAAATAAATAACAGCAATGCTTACAGTGATACTCACTGGTCTTGGATCGCGGTTCCCGCGGCCCGTCGACGGTCACTTTGATAGCCTTGGTGTAGGTCGCGACCTGCGGCGGCGTCGTCGACACGGTGATCGTCAACGTGAAGCTCTTCCCTGTAACGATAAAAACGTGTATTCGAAAGATGAAATTGGAACGGAAGTTTGTGAACGCGGAGGCTCCCGCTACGGGTGGAACTCGTTGGTAACCGAATTAACCGTCGGTAATGTATCGAGGGCGTTGTGGACGACGAGGGTGGCCAGCCGACGCGTTCCGAGGGTGCCCGCTTATGTCCGGTTATGTTAAAAAGCCTATTACGCGAGCAGTAACGACGAAAAACAATCGCCCAACCCTCTTCACCCTTCACTGTTTCTGAAAGTTTAAGAGGATTTCATGGGTTTTCGACCTTCCGGTGTTTCGCTGTCTTCTCGGTTTTAATTGAAGTATTACGAAGCAACGCACATATAAGTATCACGTTTTATGAAGATTTTAATTAAAATCTGTCTTATAATATTCATATAAGTACTGTTAAATGACTATGCAGTTCCATCCAATTGATATTTAAGAATAGTGACAACTCATTAAATTAAAAATGAAATAGTCACACTTATTCTAGATGACGAAATCTACGAGTGTTAAATAACTGAATTGTCAAATTGTTCGATATTGCATTTAAAACGGCTCGACAATAATTTGAAATCGCTTTAAGTACTGTTAAATGACTATGCAGTTCCATCCAATCAATATTTAGAAATAGTGACAACTCATTGAATTAAAAATGAAATAGTCACACTTATTCTAGATGACGAAATCTACGAGTGACAAACGAGTGTTAAATAACTGAATTGTCAAATTGTTCGATATTGCATTTAAAACGGCTCGACAATAATTTGAAATCGCTAAATACATGGTAATACAGAATAAATATGTGACAGACTATGATACAGAGTAGAAATGAGACAGGGGATGTTTCGATAAAATGCTCGTTAAAGAGGGGACAATGTTGCGTAAAAAAAAACGCACGCAATAAAACGCGGTGGTGATGCACACGCGGAGGTTCACCGCAATTCCACCTGCACACTCTTTCTCTCGTCCACCCCCATCGCATCGATTCTCACCCCGTGCAGATCACCGATCGGCCCTCCATTTGTTATCTCCAATTCCTCAAAAATTAATCACTATTAATCCATGCAAATTTCCATTGTAATTGTACGGGAAGCAAATTCATATTTGGAATATTTGGAAAAAATAGTGTGGACTAAGAAAACTGTGAATTAATTTCAATATAAGAAAATATTGATGAAAAATGATGGATACAAAAATATTTCTAGGTAAAAAGAGCTATAATATTCAGTCGTAAAAGCTCCGGTCAAACTTCTTTTTTTCGACACGCTATGATACTAACAGACTAACTACTAACGGAAAGCGGAAAGAAACGGTGAAAGAGAGAATCAGCGGCCGGAGGGATGGGGTGTAGGGGAATAATGGCGAGTGTCGAGCGTGGCCACACGGTGGTTCACCACGCGAGCTTCTCGTTTTCCACGGAAGGGATCCCCAGTCAGTTTGTTGCAAGTCACGGCATCCACCATGGCGGTGACCTGGCAAACCTTTTCGTTCGGTGGTTCCACCAGCCGGTTAGGAATCACGTTGAGGTATCACCCCTTGCCGTGCCAGTCGCCGTACAAACCATTAAAAGTCGCCCCAATAACGCACCCCTTTCACTCAGCGATATTCTTCGATTTCCAAAGGGTGTCTTCCCTACTCAATAAACTGTTTGACAGACGTGTTTAGGTTTAGTCTTGAGGTAATGTTGAATTATTTCAAAACCAGTTTTAACAGACATCACGCGACGTGGAGTCGTTTTAAATTTTTGTCAATAAAGGAGAATATATAAGGAACGATTATAGTGATTTCGTACAGAATTTTTGGAGCCACTAGACTCGTGACGTGAACGTTGAGGGGTGAAAATTGAATTGGCACTAGTCACCGCGGATGAAAATAGAAAGGGGCGGAGGGGGATCGGCACTCGAGATCGATTCCCTGATAATGCTCGTTAGCATACGATTCTCTGTGAAAATGTGAGGCCGGGCACACGCACCCATGACCAGCCGCCTGGACCCGTTCCGTTGTCGAGCCAATTAATTAATTTCAATTTTCGCCAAACGAATCGCAAATGCGCCATTGTACGCTGATAACGAATTGATTATGGTCAGAGATGAACTGCCGTCAGCGGGAACCGTCGCATCCCGTCGCAACGTCAGGCTCTGACGCCTTCCCGTGAAAATCACCAAATTTTCCGGTGAACTCGTACCCTCGCAATATTTAAAGAACAAATATAACGCGTTCGAAAGATTATTTAAAAATGTATCAAAATTATCGTATATGTATTCTTATTATTTATTTGGTAAAAGATCAGCGTTTTACATGTTCAGCTTTTTCACAAACACACATAACTTTACTAATTTCTAGGTGTTGAACACGAATTTGACAATCGAATATTTTATGTAAAATACTTGGGGCGGGACTATTCCGAACTTCAGTCATTTATTTTCCCAGGAAATATTTTAAAGGAAGAGCAAACAGATCGGAGGTAGTTATTAAAGTTCTGGTTTCATTATTGTTAACTCGGTTAACCGCAACACGCGCGGGGAAAGATCGGTTAAAATGTGAATATCGAAATTTCTTGTTTGGATTTAAATATGTAAATACAACGCGTGAATAATGTTTGCCCACTCTGATCTTCGATTCCCTGATTTTCATGAGTAGATGAATCCTCTACAGAAAGAGATTGGAATTTTAATATACAAATTCTAATGTAACAAATCATAGATCATCACTGGACTACGGATTTTATGTAATTGTAAAAAAATAGAATCTGCACAAATGATAGATGCCGCCTGTGAGATATGAAACAATTCAGAATATCAAAAACTGAACAAATAATTAAATGTTCAACAAATACTATATCATATCATACCATATCAAAAAAAATATTTTATTCTGTATAAAATTTCGCAGTTTTTGCTGATATGTGCTGGTCCATATTAAACGTGAGCAAAAACAATCATTTTATTTGAGAAACGATTTAGAGGCCAGAAGAAAATGTTTTTTTCTAAATCCCGATTTAAGAGCACTGTCTCGAGGTTAGAGGTTGAGCTGCTACCGTCGGTAGATGCAAAGATTTAGCATAGCTAGAACAAAGTTGAAGGACGCCTATCTCGCAAGGGCTGAAACTATAAGCGCCCAAATGATCTATCTCGTTATAAGGCTTAGGGCTGAAGGAGGGGGGAGTGGGAACGATCCACCGAGAGAGACTACGCCGCGCTAGGGAGCCGAGTATTACAGACGAACGTGCGGGATCGGGGCCGTGGCTTATCATCGATATTACAAGCTGCCTTCTCTCGGTTTTCCATCAACCGTGAGCACTTTTTGGGAGCTCAAACCAATTGTCCCACCGCTCTTTTGAATACCGCATCGTTTTAAGTATGAACATCATTGATATAAAGAGGTGCTTGAATAAATTAAACAAGAATATATATTTCATTGATCATGTAAACCTTTTATTCTAAATCTAATCATACAAGTTTTAAAAATGAATACAATTCAATGTGCTTGAATAATAATTTAAACTATATAATAAAATAATCTAAACAAGCCAGAAACGTTTGGACACAGCGTTAAGGAGTAATGGCAAAGACTCTTCAGTCATTTATTTTCCCAGGAAATATTTTAAAGGAAGAGCAAACAGATCGGAGGTAGTTATTAAAGTTCTGGTTTCATTATTGTTAACTCGGTTAACCGCAACACGCGCGGGGAAAGATCGGTTAAAATGTGAATATCGAAATTTCTTGTTTGGATTTAAATATGTAAATACAACGCGTGAATAATGTTTGCCCACTCTGATCTTCGATTCCCTGATTTTCATGAGTAGATGAATCCTCTACAGAAAGAGATTGGAATTTTAATATACAAATTCTAATGTAACAAATCATAGATCATCACTGGACTACGGATTTTATGTAATTGTAAAAAAATAGAATCTGCACAAATGATAGATGCCGCCTGTGAGATATGAAACAATTCAGAATATCAAAAACTGAACAAATAATTAAATGTTCAACAAATACTATATCATATCATACCATATCAAAAAAAAATATTTTATTCTGTATAAAATTTCGCAGTTTTTGCTGATATGTGCTGGTCCATATTAAACGTGAGCAAAAACAATCATTTTATTTGAGAAACGATTTAGAGGCCAGAAGAAAATGTTTTTTTCTAAATCCCGATTTAAGAGCACTGTCTCGAGGTTAGAGGTTGAGCTGCTACCGTCGGTAGATGCAAAGATTTAGCATAGCTAGAACAAAGTTGAAGGACGCCTATCTCGCAAGGGCTGAAACTATAAGCGCCCAAATGATCTATCTCGTTATAAGGCTTAGGGCTGAAGGAGGGGGGAGTGGGAACGATCCACCGAGAGAGACTACGCCGCGCTAGGGAGCCGAGTATTACAGACGAACGTGCGGGATCGGGGCCGTGGCTTATCATCGATATTACAAGCTGCCTTCTCTCGGTTTTCCATCAACCGTGAGCACTTTTTGGGAGCTCAAACCAATTGTCCCACCGCTCTTTTGAATACCGCATCGTTTTAAGTATGAACATCATTGATATAAAGAGGTGCTTGAATAAATTAAACAAGAATATATATTTCATTGATCATGTAAACCTTTTATTCTAAATCTAATCATACAAGTTTTAAAAATGAATACAATTCAATGTGCTTGAATAATAATTTAAACTATATAATAAAATAATCTAAACAAGCCAGAAACGTTTGGACACAGCGTTAAGGAGTAATGGCAAAGACAGAAATATCGATGAAAGAAATTTTCGATATGGCTATGAAAACTAAGTCAATTTTTGGCTTAAAATTGCATGGAAAATTATAGAAAAAAAAAAACAGTGAGTAGAAATTATGGTGTAGGCAGAAACTGGGAGATTTACTATAATTCTTAAATCAAGGATCTTTTCTCGGACAAAAATGGAAGCAGGCTAATTTCTCTTTCATTAGTGATCGATTCCTGCACCTCCGATTCTTTTTGAAACAAGAGAAGATTTCAGCCACTCTCAAGTCACGGGCATACGAAGGAACTGTACAAGCGGTAGAATGATTACGAATTCGCATCCAGCGAGCGTCGCAGCATCGGTTCTTCTTACCCAAGAGGAATATTCAAGGAGTCGTCAGGAATCCTGAACGCGAGAGACACTTCTCTTACATTCTTCATCCTAGCTTATGTTAATTCCGCGCTCGACGAAAACAATGGAGAGCTAATCCCAGACAAATGACTGACGCGCTTCTGTTGAACCTCGAGGGCGGATTTCGTCCCTCCATCCCTTATAGACGGATAGAAAATTCGACTATTTCATGATTTCCGAACACCCTCGCCCCTGCTCTCCTCGAAACCACCCCTAATCCCTAGTCTATACAGAAACTACAACCCTTTACACGGTGAACATGATACGAAACGATTCAGAGCTCCAATATTCAAGTAAAGAATTTTGATTCGTTCCAAGAGTTGATTAAAAAAAATCCGTACTGTGTAAAACGTTTTAATAAAATGTGCAGAGAATCTAAAGTATTTTACAATCAGAATAATATTAATTTAAAAAAATAATTTGAAGCCAAAATAATACATGATCTCGTCTTTTTGTGTAAAAACTTCAAAGCATATGAAAAAATAGGTGGTAGAAAAAGTTGAAAAATTGGAGCAGAAATAAGGAAAGTAGGTCGGCGAAGAGTTAGCTAATCGTAAGGCGCGAAACAGGGCTAATAACGTTAATTAAAATCCCAGCGAAACCTCAATTAATATCAGCCGCCGGTGGAAACAGGGGCGTCGGATCTTTCCAAGCCCCATTCTACCATCGTTTTCTCCGTGAACGAGCCCTTGTTCTCGGGGCGAGACACCCAATGGAAGAAGAAGAAGAAGGAAACTAAAGAGAGGAGGCCTGCCATCGGGTGCGGACAAATAAAACCCATTACCCACCCCCTTAAGACGTCGTCGTCGTCGTCGTCGACGGCGTCTTCACGAATTTCAGCTGGCACACCAATCAACACCGCCGTACCCGTGGCAACCCTCGAAAACGTCCAATTTTCGCGTCCCGGGACTCTTTTCCTCGCGGTGGAAAAACGAAGGGGTGGTTCGCCAGCCAAGACGTCCGCGACCTACCCTTACTACGGGATCCACGAATTCTTTGAGGCCGATTTCCCGCCACGATCCTCTCGCCCCTTGCGTCGGGGGTGAGATTTTACTTCCGCTACGCGGCGTGTCAACGACGGGAGCCAACTTTTCGAGTTCACTGAATGGAGCCAGGAAAGGGGTCGACCAAGTACCAATTTCATCAGTTTACTGTTTATCTCTGACTTGACTGTTCAACTGTCGCCATGAGCGCAACGTTTAGTCGTCAACGAATTAGAATTTTAATGACTTCGTATTTCATGATTTATTCAATTTTGTTTAAGATTGTTTTAACTATAAGTTAAAGTAATGACACATATTTGAA